TATAATGATTCCATTTATATGAAATACCCAGAATAGCCAAATACATAGAGACAGAAGCAGATGGGTGATTGCCAGAGACTGTAGGGAAGGAGACGGGAGTGGCTACTTAATGGGTTTTCATTTGGGGTGACAAAAAAGTTCTGGTACAAGATAGTGGTGATGGTTGCACAACATTGTGAATATACTTAGGCCACTGAATTGTACACTTTAAAATGGGTTAAATGGTACATCTTATATGTATTTTACCACAATAAAATAGCTAAATTCATTGAATTCCAAAGGAAATCAACTTTACTAAAATAGTTATGAGACCACTAAAAATAAACCAAATTTTTGATGTAAAAAAAGGAATGAATACAGATGTATGCTACAACATGGGTGAACCTTAAAAACAAGCTAAAGTGAAAGAAGCCAGTCATAAAGAACCACAGAGTGTATGATTCCATTTATATGAAATACACACACACACACATACACACACACACACATGCAAACCTACAGAGACAAAAAGTAAATCTGTTATTGCCTAGGGCTGGGGAGATGAGGGCTTAGGAGCTGGGGGCTAAGTAGTGTGGGTTTTCTTTTTGAGGTAGTGAAAATGTTCTAAAATTATGGTGACTAATGGTTGCACAACTTTGTGAATATAATAAAAATGATTGAATTGTATACCATAAGTGGGTTAATTGCATGATACATGAATTATAACCCCAAAATTTTGTAAAAGAAAGTTTATGATGCTGAATAGTTGAGAGATGAAGGGAATATTTTAGACCAATTATCAGATTCAGAGGATCTGATAGTCTCCATCATTTTGGTGCACCTGAAAGAACTCTATCACAAAAAAGGTTGGTAAATCATCAGGGCACATGGTTGATGCTCTAGCATGAGAGAATTGCAAAATGCAGTTATGTTCATATTCCTGTTACTGATTTTCTTTGTATGGTGCTGTAGTGTTTCTGTCTTAATCCCTTTTGTCATGCTCCTTGCTACCTTCTGTTTGAATTTTATTTCAACTTTTTAAAAACTTTTGTGACTTATTATATAACTCTAGGCAAAAACAAAAGCTAAATATGAAAGAAACAGTTGAAATATTCAAGACAATGACAGTACACAGTGACAGAGAATATCACAGACTACATATGGGAGTGTAATTGCCTTTCTCAGGACTAGTAGCAGTGAAGATGTGTGTCCCCCGTTTATATTCAATGTGGTTTTTAAAATATCTACACATGAATAGATATCTAACATTCTACCAATTATGTTTTAGAATATAACTGGCAACTTCCCACATATTATTTTGCTTTTGAGTTCATAAATATACATTTTTCTTACATGAGTTTTCACTAAGACCCTTTAACTGATAGATATAATTGTTCTATGAAGTTTAGTTATAAAATTAGCAGAACTATTTTAATGGGAAATCATGAAGAGGAGACAGTTCTGCCACAGAAAGCTGTATGTGTACTTCCCCAGATATATCCCAGTTTTCTTTGTCCCTATTTCTGTAAATAATCCTCTCTCTCCCCATATCACCATCTTTTACACCTAGAAAATATATTTCCATATTTCAAGACATACTTTATCTTCTGTACATACCTGAGACAAAAGTCCCCCGAGTTCTACAAGTCTGCCCAATCTGGGTGTATATCCTACGTTCTCGTCTTTCCTCTGTAGTGGCTATGACAACACAGTACTTAGTTGTCTATTTATTTGTCTTTATTTCATATATTACTTAAATTCCCTGAAGGCAGTAACAATATCTAGCTCATTTCTGAATCCCTATGTCTAGCTGAGCACCTAGCACTTGGTAGCACTCAAAAACATTCAGGGAGTGAAGAAAAGAAGGAATGCAAACTGAGCAATTATCTATAACAAGCCTGTGGCTCAGGAGAGAAGCTAGAGCTGCTGATATATATTTATAAATCTTCTGTGTAGACCAGGTAGTTGAAGCTTTATGAGTGGATGAGATCACTCCGGGAGAATGTAAATAGCACTGGTTCTCAAATCTGGCTATACTTTAAAATTACCTACGGAGCTTTTAAAAAAATAAAAACACCCAGGATCTACCTGAGAAATTCTGAAGCAACATCTCTGTGGTGGGGGGCAGGCAATCCTGTTTTGTAAAATCTCCCCAGGTGATTGTAATGCAAAGTCAGAGTTAAGGAATACTGTACTGGTGAGTTTAAAAAAAAAAAAAAATTAAAGATGTCACCTGAATGCAAAAGCCTTTAGAGTAAAAAATATCTAAAGATCAGGATAAGAAAGAGTATAAACAAACAAACAATGAACAAAGAGCATAAAAATTTTAAAAATCAAACAAGCAGATAAATAAATAAGAAACTGAGAAAGATGACTCAGAAAGGTAAGAGATCCAAAAGCTGTATTGTCACAGATGCCCAGAGAGGACAGCGTCTGAGAAGGAAGAATTGTGTATAAAGTGTAAAATGCCAGACAGATTCCCTGGACGTTAAAACCTAAAAAGCAGAGAGAAAGACAGACAGAGTTAGGAGTTCAATGACATATAAATCGTAAGAAATACTTATTATAAAGTATTTTCAAGGAATTAAGTCAATGTGTATTGTAATTTTTTAGGATATAGTCATTCATTATTCCATAATGTTCCTGTACAAAGGTTCAAAATAAAAACATATTGTAATATGATATAATCCTAAAAATATAATGTAATCCCCCAAATAGCATGAATCACCTTCTATGTAATCAGAAACTAATCTGCTTTATATTGTGTGTAGGTAAACAGTTCTAAAGCTATGGGAACAAAGAGAAGGGAATTAAGCTGTTTCTTATTTTTCTACTGTGTAAGACAAAAATGCTGCTTTGCATGTATTTTTATCAGATAAGGACTATCTTATTTTGCTATTACCTCAACTGTAAATACCAGGATTTTCCGGATCAAGGTATCTTGTTGCTATTACTGACTCCAAAACCAGATAATGTAAGTAAGAAAGTGTAGTAAATTGTCAACTTCTAACTGATTAAAAAGTAATTACTATATAAGCCAAGATACAGGCTCTAAACTAATTTATCTCCTGCAGAACGAAGATACTATCAGATCCCAGTAAAACTCTATTCAAATAACTTTGAAAGCCTATTTTAAGGCACAACATGCAAATTACAATTGTTTAGGGTTAATACATTTTTTATTTGTGTACATTGCTTTGCACAAAATTAGAAACTCAGAGCATGGTTGGATGAATTTATAGACTCAAGAATGAGATAGATATGCATATTTTATAGCCCTAAATTGTGGTTCCCAATCTTTTGATTTGGATGATATCTTTACTTATGTCACATATTAAAGGTACAATGCCTTCATTTATTGGTCTGCAGACAATGGAATGCTTATACTAGATTTTGTGAACTCCTTACCAAAACACCGGGTCCAGTGGCTCACAGATTGAGAAACTCTGTGCCAGCAGCCAGCGGAATTTGTTTCACCCTGAAACTAAATCTGTTGTCCCCAAAAGAACGTTTTTGATGGACAAATATATGAATAAAACTTTGAGACCTTTAAGACTTGTATTTAAACTTAAGATTTTAACTATATACCATGCATTTCTGAGTTTTCTAAGAGAGTATAGCTGCAGATTTCTTATGATTTTTCAACAAAATCAATCTTCTTCTTACTTCTATTTTGTCTCAGCTGCTTGGAATTAAAATTCAGTTATATGTAAACTATCCCTTTATGAAAACCAAGGAAGGATTAAATAAGTGTAAGTAAAGAGTCTCAATTCCACAAACTGATTAGGTACCAGACACTTCTACTTGGCTTTGGGTTCTCCCTCTTGGGAAAAATAAATCTCTCTCTCTCTCCCTCTCCCTCTCTTTCCCCCCATTCCCACCCATCCCTCTTACAGACATCATTCCTTTGTTTACTCTCCTTTGCAGTATATCTCCTTGCTACTTTTTATTCATTTCTTCCCATTCTCTTTGATCTCACTCCAGTAGGACTGCAGTCTCTATTCATCTAAAACAAAGCTTGTCAAGGTCATTAGTGGCCACAATGTGACTAAACTCAGTTTTCACCATATTCAACCCTTTAGTACAATTTAATGGTTCCATTCTCTTGACTCACTTTCTACAACTGGCTTCTGAGACACCACCCTGTCTCTTTCCCTGTCTCCTTTCTGATTCTCCATCCTCTTCCTCTACACTTCAGAATGTCCAGGTTTAGTGTTTCAATCTGCCTAATCAAAATTTCCCCAGATGTTTAACTTGCCTTAAAAAAATTTAACAGGTTCAAAACCAACCTCTTGATCTTCCCCACCATTAATAAAAGAAGGTTTTTCTTTAAAAAAACTTTCCCTTACTTTAGGAGCTCAAGGCAAACCTCCTGATATCATCTGTGGCTTATCTGTTTCTCTCATACCTCACATCATATGCACCATCAAAATATATCCAGTATCTGATCCATCCTCACCAACTCCGAGATATTATTAGAGTTCAACCAACCATTATTTCTTGCTTCTATCATTGCATTATCTTCTTATTCTATTTCTCTGCATTCACTTATTCCTTAAACTATTTTTAAATGTTTTTGATTTACTTAAATCCCTCCAAAATATTCTTATATCAAAGTAAAATCCAGTGTCTTTATAATTGCCTATAAAACCCTAAATGATCTGTTCCCCCATTCCACTTTATGCCTTATATCCTTCTGTACTTTTCCTTGTTATCTGCTCCAACCATGCATTCTTTCCTCTGCTGGTATTTTCCCAATATACATGCGATCCATCCTGGTCCTAAATGTCCATCATTATTTTTGGATACTCAGCATATTTCTGTAATATTTTCTCCCTCAGGCATTGGCATCTAAATGATGTGCTTTAACTGTCATCCAGACAACTGAATAGCATCAACTTCTCATCTTACCTCTTCATTCTTACCAGTTTTTACCAGCCCATTTGCTTGATACTGCCTTGGAAATATGAAGGTATAGAAATTATTAGCAATGCTTTTGGCAGTCATTTTTTTTTCTTTCATATTTTCTTTGTATTTCTCTTCAATAGTTGCTTGACTCAACATCCTTCTGTCTGCTCTATACAATGAAAATACAAACTAAATTGAGAATAGAAAAAAATAATTAAAGTACTAAATCGTACAAATTACAAATGTTCCAAAATGTACTTACATTAAATAAAATACGCATTTCAGTAAGTGATCTACAGTGAATGGTTATGCATTTTAGGAAGCTTCACGACGTCTAGGCAAGGCTAACATTTGTGGAAGGAACTAAGAGAATTTGCATCCAATCACAGTTTGTAGTGGGTTTCTGATTGCCAATCTGTGAGCTACACTGAGCACATTATTAGCATGACCTGTGCAGGGAACTGACTTTGGGAGAAGGGAAAGAAACAAGCTCTAGCCTCAATTCTGAGTTCATTACAACTTCTCAAGAATCTCACCACCAGCCTATAGAGTACAGTTGCAAAAAAGTAAGCATGTTAAGGTAAGGGGACAACTCTTGAGAACCCCAAACACATTCTCTTGCTGTATTTATGTAGAACTCTCCATCTACAATGGGCAGTCATGAAGAGGTTCTTCCTCAGGACAACATAGTCACAGGACTTGAGGACCCAATGGGACCGAGGGGAGCGCGAGGACTGAGGAAGAGGCTCCCCTTTTGTTTCAGTTGGAGACAAACTTATAACGCACAGTCCACGGCGCTGCAGTCTTCTCGTCCTATCCTCTGGCATAATGTTTCATGTACTCTTTAACTTTATTCTGGAAGTCCTCCTTGTCTGGCAAATGATGTTCTGCAGCTTCAACATGCAGTGGATCATCAAAATTCAAAAGATCGCTTAACAAAGCGTTGAATCCCCGAACAATATCCTTCAGTGTCCTCGTGGGAGCGCAGCCGGTGCTGTCAATCAAACGTTCTCTCAGTAAACTCAGACATACTTCGCCTGTCTCTGTGATGCTGGGGTGCCAGATCCTGGTCAAGCATTTCACTGTGGGAGGCACCACGTTGTACATATCAGGAACTTCAGTATCAAACTGAAATTTTCCACCCTCGTCGTAACCCTCATCTATCAAAAAACACAAAACCAAAAAAAAAAAAAAATCCTGGGGTTAGTTAGCTGAAAGCAATGAAGCTTGTTTGGTTGAGGAAAATGCACTTTACATGTACAAGGTAAATTAGCTTCAAGTTCTTCAATCTCTTTAACAAGTAGACTGTCTCTCGCCGAAACCCGCTGAGGGAGTCAGAGGCTGTGGCTGACTCCCGGGAACGACCCTTTGAGACCAACCATCATCCCGCTTCAGTGGGCTTGTCAGCGTCAGCATTACTGCCACCTTGCCCTGGGAACCACAAGACTGGAGAGTCGGGGCGGCGCCCAACACCACACCCAGCCAGCGGGGGCGACACGCGACGCTCAGAGCCACACCCAGCTCTGGACGCTGGACCAGAAGTGGCTTGGCAGGCGGCGGGACCGGAAATGAGGCTGGACTCGGCTTCTCTCTTCCGTCTTGGCAGTCATTTTTAAGAGCTGAGATGAGCTCTTCCCCTCCCTGCAAAATTGGCTGGAACCCTAGAAATCGGTAGATATAGCAATTAAAGAGTTAAACTCAGAGAAATAGTTGGTAGTACCCAGATCAATAAAATAACCTCTTCTTATTTGTACCTTACTGATTCCACAATTAACATTCTGTAGTGAAATCTGAAGTATATAGTGACAAAATTCCACTCTCCCTGTGGTGGCCACTGTGCAAAAAATAGCTCCCCATGATCCTTATCTCCCAACATTCACATCATTGTGTAGTCCTCTCTGATATTGCTTCATGGTTTGTCTCTGTGACCTATAAAATATGACAGAAGTGATGGTGTATGAATTATAAGGCTAAGTCATAATGGAAATTGTGGCATTTGCCTCTCTTGCTCTGTCTTGAATTATGTAGTTCGGGGAAAGCTAGCTTCTATGTCATGAGGTCACCTGGTGATCCTATGAAGAGGTCCACCCATGCTCCCTACCAACAACCCTGTGAGTGAGCCATCTTATGAACCGATCCTCTAGCTCCTATCAAGCCAGCAGATTCCTGCAGCCCCTATCAGGTCTCTCGTAAGAGGCTGTGAGACACAAACACTCAGCTAAGTTGTCATGAATCCCTAACTCACAGAAACTGTGAGATACTAAATTTTATTGTTTTAGTCCTTCATATTTGGGATTAATCTGTTGTGCAGTAATGGGTAACTAGTACACTTCTCAGAATTAATGTCTTAATTGCTAGTTTAGTGTATATCTGAATAGCCTAATAATCAGATGACTCTTCAGCATAGAAATTTAGGTGATCACCTCCCACTATAAAGGCCCAAAAGGGCAGATACTCATTTTTCCAACACCCAACATTGCACACTAGACACCTGTATGTGACATAAGCTCATCCAATTTCACCTGGGACTTTAAGTCAGAAGTTATTTATACAATAAATCAAATGTGATAGAAAATAGTAGCTGCAGAGATTGCAACAACTTCAAGTATCCTGGCGTGCCAGGGGCCACAGAGCCAGCAGCTGAACCCAGTGTCCAGTGCCAGTGGCAAAGTTACAATTTCTAGTGTTCAGCTGTGGAAACAGAAGTGTCTTCACCCAACTGATTCAGTGGTGAGATTTGGCTGTGGTTTTCACTTTTACTTTTCCATTATCATTACCAGTTTTCCAAGCCTGATCATCTAGAATTCCAGCAACTCTATGCATATATCAGTTAAGGTAACTGTAGCTTTTTGAATGAACTACTCAAAACTTCAGTGGTTTACAATATAGAAGTTTATTTCTCATCAACTCACTGAACTTGGATGGTATTTTAGTTAGTGGATGGCTTGGGCTGTTTTCATCTTTATGTTCTATCTCCCCCTAAGGCTTTGTCAGCATCTGCAGTTAAAGCAAGAACAAATGGGAATGAAGAAGTACTCCATTTTAAAGCCATTCTATGAAGTGACACACATCACTTATCCTCACAATCCTAGATGAGATCCAGCCACCAGACCCACATGGATTCACAGGTGAAGGGAGATATAGTCCATAATTTGCAGCAGTTCCTCAGCAACAACTCTATCCGACAGAATAGAAAGTACAAATCTGTTCCATAGCTATCCATCTTTGTCACATTGTGCTATGAATATGTTAAAAAGTTTGTTTGTTTTGCTTAAATGGGCCAGAGGTAGCTTGCTTGAAACTGGGAACCCTGCCTAATACAGCTGTATTCTCAGTTACTTGATCAAAATCAACCTATAATTGGGCCACTGAGCATAAATTACATTGAATTAACTCTTTTTACATTATTGAATTCCTTATTTTTCAATAATAAATAGGTTGTTTATCAATAAATAGTTCATGAAACCCACTCTCATCTGTAACACTAAAAAGTTCCAAGCCTCTGCTTGTGGTGTATATACTTAGAAACAAGGAAGAGCTCATAGTTATAAACCATTTGTCAGTTACGGCAACATTATATTCTAAAAACCCTGGAAGCATCTTATTTCTTTTACCTCCATTAATCAACAATACCAATACCTAACACTACCATAAGCACACATTTTTTTCAGAAATTATTTCAAATAATGGGAGATAATTTGCCCAGAAATAGTTGAGGATTATTTAATATTGTATTATTTATTATATTTCCTTAGTCATGTAAATACTTAGAGTTACATAATGTTTTATTGCTGTGGAGAATCTCTACAAATTATGACTACAGCTTAAAATTGTTATATTATTGTTCTTCAAATTTATTTTCTTGAAAAATAAATTATTTTCAGGAGAACAAAAAGACAAGACACAGAGTGGGAGAAAATATTTGCAAACACATAGCTGATAAAGTACTGGTATCCAAAACATATAAAGATCTCTTAAAACTCAAGAATAAGAAAACAACCCAACTGAGAACTGATCAAAAGTTCTGAAAAGACATGTCACCAAAGCAGACCTGTAGATGGCAAATAAGCACATGAAAAGATGCTCAAGTTTGCTAATTATTAGAGAAATGCAAATTAAAACTGCAATAAGGTATCACCTCACACCAGTCAGAATGGCTATCATTAAAAAGTCTACAAATAATAAATGCTGGAGAGGGTGTGGAGAAAAAGGAACCCTCCTACTCTCTTGGTGGGAATGTAATTTAGTGCAGCCACAGTGGAGGACAGTATGGAGGTTCCTTAAAAATCTAAAAATAGAGTTACCACATGATCCTGCAATCCCATTCCTGGGATTGGAGAGAGAAAACTCTAATTCCAAAAGACATTGATACATGACTTATTTCACTTAGCCTAATACCCTCCAAATCCATTCATGTTGCTGCAAATGGCAAAATTTCATTCTCTTTTATGGCTCAGTAGTATTCCATTGTACATATATACACCACATCTTCTTTATCCATTCATATAAAGTGTTGATAGACACTTAGGTGGCTTCCATATATTGGCAATTGTAAAGAGTTGCTGCTGTGAACATTGGGGTGCATGTATCTTTTCAAATTAGTGTTTTTCCTTTTTTTCAGATATATACCGAGGAGTGGAATTGCTGGGTCATATATGTTAGTTCTGTTTTTAGTTTTCTGAGAAACCTCCATACTGTTTTCCACAGTGGCTGCACAAATTTACATTCTGGCCAACAGTGTACAAGGGGTCCCGTTTCTCCACATCCTTGCCAACATTTGTTGTTTGTGTTTTTTTTCATGCTGTGAGGTGATATCTCATTGTGGTTTTGATTTGTAGCTACCTGATGATTAGCTAATGTTGAGCATATTTTCATGTGCCTGTTGGCCATCTGCATGTCCTTTTCGGAAAAATGACTATTCAGGTCTCTGCCCATTTTTTTAATCAGGTTGTTTGTCTTTTTGATGTTGAGTTGTATGAGGTGTTTATGTATGTTGGATATTCACCCCTTACATGTCATATCATTTGCAAATATTTTCTCCCATTCAATAGGTTGTCCTTTTGTTTTATATTTTTATTGATTCCTGAAATATTTATTTATTTGTTTATTTATTTATTTATTTCTGAGTAAGGATGGCCATCTCAAAAAAATACTTCAATTTAAAATAAGCTTTGCCTAGAAATTTCAGAAATTATTCATTCATAAATTTACTAAGCAAATATTTTTCAGCTCCCTAATATGTATGAGGCTCTCTACTAGTCACTATAAAGTTAATATAAAGATAAACATGTTACCTGTTCATGGAATTTAAAAACTGGTTAACAAAGAATAATAACTTTTACTTCCAAAGCACTTACAGATTTTTTATCCATTTGGAATGAATCAAGCTTTTAAGTAACAGAAAGCCCAGATACAGTGGCACAAACATATAGGGCTTATTTATCTCATATACAAACACTCCAGATGTAGGCAATTGCTGTCATTTCTTCAGGAGCTCAATAAAGCTGGAACTATAATCTTGGTTGTTGTCCTTGGCTTTCATTTGTGTCTCCTATGATCAGAAGATGACTAATGTAGCACCTCATTATAAAGGAGTCTTATTGCACTCATTTCAATGGAAAGATGAAAGAAGGGAACAAGATGACATCTATATAAGAAAAGCAAAAGCTCTATATGAAGCTCACAGTGTACTTCTATTTACATTTAATTGGTCTAAACCTAGATTATATTGTCACCATTGGTTAAAAGCTGATTAAGAAGATTGCATGAGTCAGACAGAATACCCTTCAACCTTAAGACTAGACAGTTACTAAGTACTGTTTTCTGGTGCAACTGACCAATAAAGAATTCCAAACCAGCCTGCAAAGAACAAATTTAGAGATAAATCTCAATTCTGTTGAAAAACAAAGCATTAAATGGTATAGAGTGTACATAAAACATTTGGCAATTTATTAATCCTTATTTTGTTTGAAAGTTGTTTTAAAGGTATAATGGATATATATAGAGAGAGTACATTATATATATATATATATAAATATATAATATATATGCAATGTATATATTAAGCATGTACTGACAGTCAACTATAAATTATTGGCTGTAGTATTGGATATCATGAATGTAAGAATAAATAAAAGATAACTAGGTTCATTAAGTACTTCACAGTGTAGTAGGGGAGACAGACACTAAAACAGATAATTATAAGACAATGTGATCTGTACAATGTTGAATCTTCTAGCATAATGTGTCATCTCCAGATAGTATTAGAATATTATAAAGCCTTTCGTTAAGATGCCACTGGTGGTAATCCTTAAACTGGAAACCTGGGCAAGCCTGAAAGAAAAGGACTCTATTGTCATCTAGTGGCCAAACTCATGTCCTTGAAATGGTTGAGTTACTTTGGATGTCATCTATCT